CACGCGGGCCAGAGCCGTTCACAGCCCGGCTCACGTATTTGTAAAATATAAGTGACTCGTACAACATGGAATTCATATAAAACGGAATAATCAACAGTGTTATTGGGGGTCGACTGTATTATAAATTACACAGTGAAATTATACAAGTTTATTAAATAGTGATGCTATACAGTACTATTATTTTCAATATACATGTAATAATAATTGAACAAAATTATACAAAGAATCTTTTATTCAAATACAGAATGAGTACAGTAGACCCACCAATAAAATGGGTTTATATAATGCGGACTCGTATATCGCCTCAAAAAAATTGCGACCGTATTCGTATAAAGACGCTAAAAGCAACTCGTAAAATGCGGTAAAACGTCATCGCCGACTCGTGTCGCGACAGAATTGGTCTATCTAGACCAATAGCGGATATTGCACAAACCGTTGAGTTTAAACGAGCAGCGGACCTACTTTGTTGTTTAACGCCAATAAAAATTATATTTATATTAATGATGCCTCCAAAGTTCAGCGAATTTTTCGCAGAAAAATAATTTATCAGGAAACACACGCACCTGCCTTTCGATGCTCCGCTCCGCGACGAAAACAAGCTTAAGCAATGGCGTTGTTGAACGGTGCACACTCGGTAAGTAATCTTACAATTTTTTGTTTATATAGTTTATATTGTTTATATAGTTTATATGGATTATTCCCAAAACATTATACGTGTTTTGGAAATGTTGAGTCAAATTAGTCTAGAATCGATTAATTTTATGGAAGAAAATCTTTCAAACAGCCGTAGTCCGTAAACTTCATACGTGCCGGGCTGTGATTGGCTCATGTATTTAAAGACTTGTAGAACATGAATTTCATAAAAAGTGGAACGTATCTACCGCGTTATAGGGGGTCAACTGTATTTCTACTTTGGTTCAAATAAATATATCAATTGGGGAAATTGAAATGAATACTGTATTTTGAATTCCGTTTCGTCAGTAAAATATTGAGATCAGTGTTGACTCATCTAACCATTTTATTTACCAAATATTCTAAAATTTTTAAGATCTAATAAACATTTTATTTGCAATGTCATCAAGCTTTGTTGTAGCTTTTCTGACAGCAAAATGCATTGTAGTTACTTCACTTCCTTGCTCATCAAAATAATAATCTACTTCTAGCGCATTATAAGTTTGTATACAAATATTGTGCAGAATGATGTACCAAGAATTGTTTTTCAAATCAAGTTCATTTGTCACATCTGAACATGTTAGCAGAATCAACCTTTCAGCAAGATGTACAAACGCAGTACTCTAATAAAAGGGCTATACGTTCTGCGGAAGGCATATTTTTCGTGTGCAGTACACGCCGTTTGTAACAAAGTAGCATCATGAATAAATGAAAGGCATCGTCGTACAATATGCATGCTCAATTGTACTTGTTGAAAAATACGGAAAAATTTTTTTCTAAACGTTTTCATGATCT